CAAGGGGGGTGGCGGGGAAGATGAAGGAAGTGAAGGACTGGGAGAAGGTAACGGGGTAATGGTGAAATGTATCGGGGAAAGAGGGGGTGGGGGGCATTAGGGGGTTATTGAGAGTGTGTGGGGGGGAATTCAGGAGGGAGGGAGAGAGAGGGGGAGAAGAACGAGAGGAGGGAGAAGGAGATCATAAGAGGAGTTGGGTTACAATGGAAGGGAGGTACACTAGGGATTTTTTTTCGGAGGAGAAGTTGTAATAACCATAATTTTGCAGGGTTGGGGGAGGAGAACGAAGGTGGTGAGTGGGTTGAGAGGATAGACGAACTTACCGCGTGCATGTTAATTTCGGCGTCGGAGACCAGCTCAGCGTTGTTGGCTGCCATGGTGTCTGCTTGAGGCGCCCAGACTGCCGAACTAGCAGTCGTGTGGCTGTAGGTGGAGGAGGCACGGAGTGTTTGATCCTAGGGGGGATCAGATAGCACTGCCGTTCTCAGTGTAGACCAGGGGGGGAAGAGAGGAGAGGATGATCGTTCTTCCGTTGTCGTGGATGTCGATCGCAGCATGAGGAGCACTCGTATATTGAGCCCGAGTGTGGGTGACGATTTGTGTAGTACGCATTCAGAAAGTACTTCTGAGCGTAGGTGAGGAGGAGGTTGGGGAAGGGTTTGTCTATATATAGCGTCATGATGAGTATGATGGGAGGTGATGGGGGGGTAGCTTGGTTCTTGTGGGTGTTGTGGAGGGTGATGGCGGTGGGGGGTTGTAGAGAAGTGGTGAGGGGGGTGTATGTGGTGAATGCAGACGGGTGGATTGCAGATTCGTAAGTGTCCGTGGGTGAAGTAAGCGGCGCTGGGTAGTGAGTGTGGGGGAAGGGGGAGCCGGAATTTGGCGGGGTCTAGACTGTGTGTGAGTTGGGAGGATGTGGCGTGTTTCTCCAAGTGTGTGAGTGTCAGTGGAGTAGTGGGGCGTGGCCATGTCTCAGTGGGATTCTCGTTTGTGGCGTCGTTTAATTGTCCGGTTGTGTAGGGCGCTGCTTTTTCGAGGTTCAGCTTATGGCTTTGTGGTTTGGTCATTGGGTTCCGTAGGTGCCTGTGTACGAGGAGGGGTAGTGGGGACGTGGGGGTGTTGCAGCACGTTTTTCCAGAGTGTGAGTCGTAGTCCTGGCGGGAGGGTAACATTTTGTTTTCTTCGTTGGGGTGTTTTTCTGTGTTAGCAGGTACCTTGTCAGTGGCGTCGTTTTGCGTTGTTGTCTGGTTGTGCCAGAGAGGGTTCAGTATTTTTTTGTCTGAGTGTTTTTTTTTTAAAGTAAGGGTTCTAGGTTTGTTTTGCCTGGGGTGGTTTGATGGTGGAGTGGGTAGGGATTATGTGGTATGGTTCAGTGTGTATTATTTTTAGTGGGGGGGGGGGGGGTTGTGGAAGTTTTCCGGGGGTGTTTTTGCCCCGGGGGGGAAGGTGGGTGGCCAAGGTGGTTGTTTTAGTGGACTATTTCTCTAATTATTTTTAATTTTTTTTTTTGTATATGTGTGTGTGTGTGTGTGTGTGTGTGTGTGTGTGTGTGTGTTGTGGCCCTTCCGCTCTGATCTGCTCTGACTCCTGCTTTTTTCGGGAGTTCGGTAGAGGATGGTATTTAGTAGTGGTCTCTTCCGGCGGCCTTCTCCTGTAGACCTCGGTGTACGAGCACAGTCCGGCCAAAGCGTCTCTCTTTATGACTGAAGGCGATGGTGTCCTCCACGATGTGTTTCTCTGTGCGCACGATCGGTGTGACGACGCTGGTTTCTGCTCCTGCCCCTCTCCTGATCTCTTGACTTCAACTGTTTTCTTTCCATAGCCGGCCTCCCCCCCCCCCCTCTCTCTCTCTCTCTCTCTTTCTCTCTCCCACCGGGTTCCGATGCTTTCTGGCTCTCTCTTCGACTGGAGGTATGCTGCTCAAAACGATTGATGGCTGCGTACAATTTCGGGTGTAAGCAGTGAAGAACATGCGTGATTGACCTATCTTCGGACTACTTGCTATGATTCGCATTCCGTTCGAAGGAGTTCTCTTCACTCATCTGATCGACGGGGCCTGTTTCCACCCCCCTTTTCTTTCAAAATTTCGGACGTATTCTATCCTCTTCCCAACACCTCCTTTTCTCCTCGGCCTCACACGGGATGCTTTTTATCGCGTGTCGGCCTGCTGCTAGGAATGAACCCTCGCGGGGCCCTTATTTGCAGCCAAAGGCTGCGTCTTCCCCCGTTGCACGTTTTGTCGTGTAGCAGGCTTTCTGCTTGAGGAAATGTGGAGGCACTTTTTGTCGTGTAGTGGGCTTTCTGTTTGAGGAAATGTCGAAGATCTCTAACGGGGTTTATGGGGCGTCGACAAGGTGCGCGGTCGGGGGCAAGGCACAGACCGGTAGGCCAAACGGTTGGCGCAGAGGTTGGAGCGCGGGTGACCAACAGTAGGTGGCATAGGTCTTTTTTTTTTTTTCAGGACAAATGCTCCAATCTATTCGTGGGGAGGGAGCAACACGTGCTGGGAACCCGGCCTAGTGTCCCATGAAGAATATACAAATGATTTGAAGTACCAGGGCCATTACCTGGCTTCGGCTAAGAACAATCCGGAAACTACGAAAAAAGTTCAAGAAGATTTAGAAAAAACGTGGATCCTGGCAACCTTGTTTAGGTGGTACTGAGGCTGTTCGATGCCAGAACGACGCTGGCCGTTGCTGGGGCGTTGCCCTGTAACCTGCTCATGCAGGAGCATGAGGCCTGGTAGAGAGATC